ACACTCGGGGCTGTGTGCCCACAGACACTCGGGGCTGTGTGCCCACAGACACACAGAGCTGTGTCACGTGGGCTTTTTCAGCTGGACTTGGTGGCACATACACCTTTAATCTTAGTAGGAGGCAGAGACAGTTGGATTTCTGAGTTTGAAGCCAGCCTGGTCTACAAAGCAAGTTTTAGGACAGCCAAGGCTACACAGAGAAACCCTGTCTCAAAAAAAAACCTAAATAAATAACTAGAAATGGTTTTCTCCAGTTCAGATGCTTGGAAGGTGAGGTATCTTTGGCGGATTTAATTTACTTATCTGTTTAATTTTGCGTGCTCGTGTGTGTGTGTGTGTGTGTGTGTGTGTGTGTGCGCGCGCGCGCGCGCCCACACACAAGCACACATCTATGCACATGGCACAGTGCATTTGTGGAGGTCAGAGGGCAGCTTGGGGGAGTTGATTCTCTTTCCACCATGTGAATTTCAGGGATGAAACTGCTGCTCATCAGGCCTGTCAGCCAGTGTATTTTCTGAACCACCTCACTGGCCCTAAAATTTATTTTATTTCATTTATTTATTTATTTATTTATTTATTTATTTATAATTTATTTTTATTTTATGTACATTGGTGTTTTGACTGCATGTATGTCTATGTGAGAGTGTCAGATCCCCTGAAACGGGGGTTACAGACAGTTGGGAGCTGCCATGTGGGTGCTGGGGGTTGAACCAAGGTCCTCTGGAAGAGCAGTCAGTGCTCTTAACCGCTGAGCCATCTCTGCAGCCCTACTTATTTTATTTTTTGAGGCAGAATCTCCCTATATAGACCAGAGCAACCTTTAACTGAGAGATCCTCCTGCCTCCCATCTACCATTGTTGGGATTAAAGGCATTTGCTACCATGCCTAACCTTACGTGTTATTTGAAGACAGGTTTTGCTGAGTGGCGTAGGCTGCCTGGTAGGTAGGTGTTCCACCATGCCACTTGGGGATTCCTTTGGTTTTGTTTGAAGTGCTGGTGACGCAGCCCACGATGTCTCACGATGGTGAGCAGTGGCTCAGTGGGTAAAGGTGCTTGCCACCAAGCTGACAACCTGAGTTCAGTTCCTGGGACTCCCTCATGCTGTCCTGTAGCGGGGCTTTCTCCTCATCTGCCAGTACAAGAATAAAGACATAATTTCGGCCTCACCTTGGGCTCCCTTGCAGCTAGCTCATCTAACTGAAATAACCGGACTCTTCCAATCCACTACTAGCCTCTCTCTCATTCAGTCCCATCACCTGATCCTCTCCCTGTCACTGATGATGTACATACCCCACCGCTGCGGCCTCCTCCCCCAGCCCCCGAGTCCTAGATGTCCCGACTTGTTCTCTCCTGTCCAGCTCTTTGCCATCAGGTCTTTATTAAGCCAATCAAAGGGTGAGGGGGACTGTTTACAAAACATGATGCAGGAGCTCAGCCATAAGAATAACAAGGCCAAGGTCCAGACTGCACTCAGCCTCGGCCTGCGTGCAAAGTCAGGCCTCACACAGTGTACCAAGGATTACCCCAACATTGGCCTGCCTTCACATGTGGCTGTGGTATGTGCAAACTTTTTTTCCCAAAAGTAAGATGCTGAACAGAGCCTCCGTTGCTGACTTACTACTCCCCTCACGTGACCAGTTCCTGGTGCTGTGCCTTGCACCCACACTGGAGAGGCAGGAAGATCAGGAGTTCAGGTTCATTCTCTGCTACATACAGAAACCTAGTCTTGAAAAACCGTAAGAATGTGGCAGCTTAGCAGCAGCAGGTAGCGCATGGCTGTGTGGGCCCATGGTGTGTCTAGTCCCCCATGGTAAGCAGGGTGGAAGTTGGGGAGGCCAGGCCTAGGACTTTGGTGCATGCATCTCCTGAGGTGAGTCCAGTGCAGAGATTGAAGTCCAGGGGCCATTGCTGGGCCAGGATGAAACCCCCTCTCCTCCCCCCAGGGCAGAGTTTCCCTGTGTATCCATTGTTGTCCTGAAACTCAGGTGGTAGACCAGGCTGGCCTCAAACTCAGAGATGCCTCTGCCTCTGCCTCTGAGGTGCTGCGACTCAAGGTGAGCGCCACCGCGCCCGTCTCCTAAAGTAGTTCTTCTGAGTGACCGGCCGCCCCTGCTTGCAGGCCCGGGTGGAACGCATGGAGCAGTTTCAGAAGGAGAAAGAGGAACTGGACCGAGGCTGCCGGGAATGCAAGCGCAAGGTAGCCGAGTGCCAGCGCAAGCTGAAGGAGCTGGAGGTGGCCGAGGGCAGCGGCCAGGTGGAGCTGGAGCGGCTGCGAGCTGAGGCGCAGCAGCTGCGCAAAGAGGAGCGGAGCTGGGAGCAGAAGCTGGAGGACATGCGCAAGAAGGAGAAGAGCATGCCCTGGAATGTGGACACGCTCAGCAAAGATGGCTTCAGCAAGGTGGGAACCAGCGAGAGCGGGGTTTGTCAGGCGCACATTGGGGCCGTTTAGTGGTGGGGGCTGGACGTGTCTACCCTGTCTCCCCATCTCTGTAAACTAGAAAAAGAATTCCAACAATAAGAGCCTGGGAAAAAGCCACAGGGGAGGGATGGGACAGACAGACAGATTGGGTTTGGGCTTGGCTAGTGGAGGCCAATGAAGCCCATCCATACCCTCTGATCTGCCCGAAGGCCCGCGGCCATGCCTCCGCCACCTTGATGCACTTAGCGACACCACCGCCTCCGATGTGGACAGGATGGGCGCGGCGGCCACGGCCCCCGCACCCCAGGCGCGCCCCTGCCTTGCCCCAGCCCACTTGCCCTCTCGCCCTGTCACAGAGCATGGTCAATACCAAGCCTGAGAAGGCAGAGGAAGACTCAGAAGAGGCAAGGGAGCAGAAACACAAGACCTTCGTTGAAAAGTACGAGAAACAGATCAAACATTTCGGTAAGTTCTGGCACGGAGCCTCCAGCTGGGAGTCAAGGCCAGGGAGGGGCTTCCGATGGCCTCTGCAACATGCTCCCATAACCTTCCCTGCAGGCATGCTCCACCGATGGGATGACAGCCAGAAATACCTGTCAGACAATGTCCACCTGGTGTGTGAGGAGACAGCCAACTACCTGGTTATCTGGTGCATTGACCTGGAAGTGGAAGAGGTGAGTACAGCCTTTCCCAGCTTCAGAAAGCCTCCCAGACACTGCTGCATGGTGGCACTCTACCTCTCTGTCCCCGCAGAAATGTGCGCTGATGGAGCAGGTGGCGCACCAGACCATGGTGATGCAGTTTATCCTGGAGCTGGCCAAGAGTCTGAAGGTCGACCCACGCGCCTGCTTCCGGCAGTTTTTCACCAAGATCAAGGTAATGATGTCCTACCAGGAAGCCCACAGTGTGTGTGCTGACTAGGAACGTAGTCAGAACCTCCTGGTCATCCAGCAGGAGGGCGTGGGGTGGCCGAGGATGACAGTGGCCCAATATGGCCATAATCGTTTCTTTTTCAACTTTAAAAAATTGTATGTATATATAGAGTATATGTGTGCGTATGTTTGTATGGTGTGTATGTATATGTGATGCGTATGAGCAGGGACAGTGTGGTGGAGTGATTCTCCGTCTACCTTTACGTGGGTTCCAGTGGCCAAACAGGCCATTAGGCTTGCATGGCAGGCACTCTCACCCATTTAAAGAGTTTTTATTTTTTGCTTTAAGTATTTATCCATCTTTTTGTTGTTGATGATGTGTGTGTGCTCGGGTGAGTTTATGTGCATTCAAGTGTCTCCAAAGGCTATGGGAGGGTGTTGGATCCCTGGAGCTGGAGTTGCTGGTGTTTGCAAGTTGTCGCGTGGATGCTGGGAACTGAACTAGGGTCCCCTGAGAGGTTGGGCATCGGGAGAGCAGGCAGGTGGAACAGTCGAGAACTGAGCTCCCTGTCAGAGCTTACTGAAGGCACCTGAGGCTGTGGTTACCAGCCCTGTGCCGGTGACTTGAGCCAGGGGTCTAGCTGGTAGCAGATGGGCCCACGAGGTGGGAGGCCCTCTGAGTACAGGAGACAAAGGCCATGCTTTGAGGTGCCCGTGGTGGAGTTCAGGAAAAGCCTTGGGGAGCCTCAGAAGGCCTCCAAGAGCTGCAGCAGTAGTCTCCCCCCCCCCAATAAAACCCACCCTTGTCCTCAGACCGCTGACCAGCAGTACATGGAGGGCTTCAAGTATGAACTGGAGGCCTTTAAGGAGCGCGTGCGGGGCCGTGCCAAGCTGCGAATAGAGAAGGCCATGAAGGAGTATGAGGAGGAGGAGCGCAAGAAGAGGCTGGGCCCTGGTGGCCTGGACCCTGTGGAGGTCTACGAGTCCCTGCCGGAGGTGCGGCTCCCTGGGGTCCAGGAGGGAGGAGGGCGATCTGTGAGCTTTCCGCCCCCTCTAGCCCCTGCCCCTTCCACCCCAAGCCCAGGCCCTCACCTGGCCCCTGTGTACCTAGGAGCTGCAGAAATGCTTTGATGTGAAGGATGTGCAGATGCTGCAGGACGCCATCAGCAAGATGGATCCCACCGTGAGTCCCCAAGCGCCACAGCCGATGGCAACGAGTGGCCCTCTAGTCTGGGCCTGGGGTGCAAGCCTGACATCTCCAGAGGCTAAGAGCAGGGTTGTAAGTTTAAGGCCAGGCTTAGACAGGATGAGTTCAAGATGAGCCAGAGCAACTCAGCGAGACCCTGTCTCAGAATAACAAGTAAGATGACAGGGTCTCGATTCTGTCATCGTTCATCCCGCTCAACACCAGTATGTGGGGCCCTGGTTCCAAAAACAAAAGATGGTGTCCCTTCTGGGCCTCTCTAGAAAGGGGCCAGCACTCCTAACAGCAGCACTGTCTGCTGAGTACCTGCTGTGCGCTCCTCATCGACTGAGGAGTCCAGGGCTCCACGAAGAGGACTGGGGCTGCGGTTCAGGTGCTGCGTACTTGCCTGGCATGCAGGCTGCCCTGTGTGCAGTCCAGCACTCCGGAGCTGTCAGGAATGAATGAGTGCAAGGTCATTTTCTGCCAGCACAGAAGCCTGGGATAGTTAGGGCCAGCCTTGAGGGAGGTGCAGAGGATGGGGGCCCCTGGGGTGCTGGCACAGCCTCAGCTGTTTGTCCTCCCTCTCCCCACAGGATGCCAAGTACCACATGCAGCGATGCATCGACTCTGGCCTCTGGGTCCCCAACTCCAAGTCTGGTGAGGCCAAGGAGGGGGAGGAGGCGGGCCCCGGGGACCCATTGCTGGAAGCCGTCCCCAAAGCGGGCAACGAGAAAGACGTCAGTGCGTGACCTGCCCCAGCCACTGCCACCGCCTGCAGGCCTCTGCGGGCCCTCCTCCAGAAAAGGAAACCTAGCCACCATGTCCCTAGCTCCTGACTTCCTTCACTTCTGCTGCTCCTCACATCCTGGCCCATGGCCTGACCCACATCCCCCGTCTCCGGCCTGTCCCCAGCACTCATCAGACTCTGCTTCGGGTTGAGGGGCTCTGCTGCCTGCGGCCTCCCCACCCCCATCAGCATTATGCCAAAGTCCTGGGGGTCTGGGGAGGGGCAGCAGTTGCCAGGTTGGTCCACCGGGTCGGGCTGCACATGTCCCCAGCTGGTCAGGGTCTTCCCTATGGGTCTGTGGTCACTGTTTTTCTTCTGTCTAGCTTTCTGTCCTGCAACTGGCAGCAATGCCCAATAAACAGTTCCAGGTGCGGAGGCCTCTGCTCAGTGCTGTTTGAGGCAGAGGGGGACCTAAGGGGGGGAGAACCAGAGTCCTGTGACAGGCATGTCCTTTTCTCTCCCCGCTGTTCAAAAGTCCCAGGCCTTCTGTGGCTCTCCAGCTCCTTACTAGCTCAGTCTCTCCTTCTCCCTCTTCCTCCCCTCTTCACCTAGTACTCCATGGAGACAAGAGGGCAAGAGTTTGAGGGTAGCCTGTGCATGTGGATTTTCACACTGACCTTTGCCTCTGCTAGAGAAGTACACTATTTTGAGTGTGTGTGTATGTGTTTGTCTTTCTGAGACAGGTTTTCTATATATCTTTGGCTGTCCTTGAACACACTATGTAGACCAGGCTGGCCTCAAACTCAGAGATCTGCCACCCTGAGTGCTGAGATCAAAAGCATGAACCACTCCTGGCTTAAATTTGGATTTTTTAAAATTGTATGTGTATGAGTCTTCTGTATGTGTGTATGTAGTGCCTGCAGAGGCTGGAATCTCTTAGAACTGCAGTTACAGATGGTTAGAAGCCTGTCATGTGGCTGCCTGGGTGCAGTCAGTGTCTATGCATCCTGAGCCTTCTCCTTAGTCCCTGAGGAGCGTCTTCAAGGATCTCTGCTGATGGAAACAGCAGAGCATGGGGCTCAGGCTGGAGTCCAGTGGTAGTTTCCATTCCAACAATGTAAAACAATGCACACCTAGTCATCCGGCCCGAGGAGGAATGAAACAGAAGGGTCATGAGTTCAAGGCCAGGCTCGGCTGACCAGTGGGACCCTGTCTCTGTGAAAATGAGTTAAGTGACCTGAGACTGGCCCAGCTGGTAGAGGGCTTGCCTAGCATGCAGGAAGCCCTGCCCTGCTGCGGTAGCACACACCTGCAAGACCCAGGCCCCTAGGGAGAGGATCAGGAGTTACTGCTGGTGACTGAGAAGGTGGCTCTGGGTAAGAGCTCTTGCTGCAGAGGCCTGAGACACCCAAGTTCAGATGCCAGCAACCGTGGAAGACGCTGGGCATAGCCATGCGCACTTCCTGTAGCTTCAGTGCTGCTGGAGATTGAGGTGGGATCTCTGGGGCTTGCTCGCTGCTTCAGAGTCAGAGATCTTGACTAGGACTAAAATGAAGCATGATAGAGCAGAGCTTCCAGCATCCTCTGGACTCCACAGTACAGATACTTGTACACACAACATGCATGGTTGTCCTCAGCTATGTAGGTTCCAGACCAGCCTAGGTTACATTGGAGTAGTAGAGGAATATGAGTGAGCTAGCTCAGCCACTAAAGCGCTTGCCACTAAGCTTGGCACAGTTTTAATTCCCAGGACTCATGGGTGGCAAAAGGGAACCAGCTCTGCTAGTTCTCTGGTCTACACAGGTGCGCATGCAGCAGGAGACCCGCCGGAGCTGCTTCTGTCCAAGGCAAGAGTTCCAGACGTCTGGCCCCTTCACCCTCTCAGGGCACATTCTCTGGGGCTGCATGACACTCAGGTCGCAGCTCAGCACCAGCTGCTGGCGTACACGTTTAGTCCCAGCATTTGGGAGGTAGTGCTCTGTTGATGTCTGGGCCAGCCTGGTCTGTGTGGTGATTCCAGGCCAGCCAGGGCTGCACAGTGGAAACCTGTTTCACAAACATTGTGACCGGCTCCAGCTCTGTGCAGACACCTTCCAGAAATGTGCCCGGGACCTGAGCCTCCGGCACCCAGCCACCCAGACAGCCTTACTCACCTGGGCATTGTCACCTCCTGTGGACTGCAGGCACCTCCAGGCACTATCAGCCTTTCCTTCTTGCATCCAAGTGACTTCTCGCCAGGGGGCAGCAGCGACCTGCAAAGAGCTCTGCAGCCCTGGTACTTTCTGGTTAAGAGGCGGGTAACTCGGTTCTGGGGACCCAAACACGTGTGCATTCAGGCAAAACACCTAGACTTGTTTATGTTTTATACATACTTGTTTTTGTATCATAAGCCTCGAGGGTGCTGGGGATTGAAACAGGTCCTCTGGAAGAGAAATCAGTGCTCTTAGCCACAGTGCAATTCCTCCAACTTTCATGGTTTCTCTTGAGACCAAGTCTCACTGTAGCACAGGCTAGCCTCAAACTTGTGAAAATCAGCCCACCCCAGTCTCCCTAGTGCTGGGATGAACAGGTTGTGAGTTGGTTTGAATGACTTGTAAGTTGTATTTTTGTTGTGTCATTATCCCAGGAGTTTGAGCTGTCTCATAACGGGATAAAGGTACATGCCCTTGGGAGGCTGAGGCAAGACTACAGAGTTCAAGGCCAGCCTTTTTTCCCCAGGGTTTCTCTGTCTAGTCCTGGCTGTCCTGGACTTGCTTTGTAGACCAGGCTGGCCTTGAACTCACAGCTATCCACCTGGCCTGCCCCTGCTTCCAGAGTCCTGGGATTAGAGGTGTGCACCACCACACCCAGCTCTTTTTTTTTTTTTTCTTAATAACAAACTATTTCCACAAATAAACCTAA